GAAGCCTAGTAATCTGAATTCGGTATGCTAGCAGGTTTATGCCTGACAGACTCCCAAACACACGACGGCTTACCTCCACGTTACTAACCCGTTCGCTCCATCCAACGTGAGCTAAACTGCGTAAACACCGATAATCGAAAACTTCTAGTCGACGGATATCTTCTATTCGCAAATGCAAGGTCTCACAACCATCAAGCAGGACTGAACGAACGCTGGCACAATATACACGATTTTCCAACTTCAGTAAAACGTCACGTCTACGTGTTTCAGTCTTGCGTATGCTACTCGAGCCGTGGAAATGCAGGCGGTTATTTCCTTTGCTGCACTACCGTCATTGGTTACGCAACTACCCAAGTAGGAAAAGTAATCCACCACAACTAAATCCTGACCATTTAGTGTCAGAGTGGGAGTAGGCGAAACCCAGTTCTGCAGCATCGCTTTGCACTTTGAAGGTGCAAAGCACATGCCGAATGTGGCAGCTGCACTTGTTAGTCTATTAAGTGCGCTTTGCGCGTCCTTCATACATTCAAACAGACAGACGATGTCATCGGCGTACTCTAAATCGCACAAGCGCAGGTACTTCGCGGAAATAGAGTCCTCGGAGAAACTTCGGCGTATTGTGTTTGCTGATTCAGGTGATAACTTGAAAAATGTAAAGGATGATCAGATCCACACTGGGTGAAGAAAAACCCTGAGTTCAAACCAATCACGCAGAGGCGCGTGGGTCACACTCAAGCTTTTTTCTTCTCGGGCAGCGGCCATTGGCTTGATGAAGCACCCATGATCTTGAACTTTGCCCAAATAAATTAAGAGCTGATGAGCTGGGTGTCACCTCTCAAATAAATTAGAGGCTCTCTGCTCTGTTTTGCTTCTGTGTACGTCGAAATTTAAGTGGGGATTCCAAAATTAACCCTCTTTTTCTCCCTGAGTTACCGGTGAGAAATAAGATTACACAATCCACAATTGTGGTACTTTGTCCAAGTTCATGTTATACATACGGAGAAGCTTGGAAATTTTACTCGATCGTCTCAGATTTTCCAGGATGGATACCTCCGGATAGATATTTTGGTGGCATGGTTGAACTGTGAAGCTCCTACACCTATTCACTCTCAGTACAAGCTCGGACTACCCCATTCTATACCTTAAGAACAATTCAACTTTACTTTTTCATGGTGTACCAGAGGGCTAGCTGAAAGATAGCGACCAAAAGTGGAGCACGAAAATGTACGATTTTGTCGACTGAAACCGATCAAAATCAAATGTTTTCTATCAATAAAATGTAATGTTTGGCAGAAATGAGCCCAACTTATCTGGGACCAAATCTCCTAACAGTTAAGCAACACTCCTGCGGCATAGTGAGTTAGAAATGGGGAGGCGAGCAATAGGTTGCAGCAGGAGTATTGTGCGATAAGGCGCTCTCTCCAGCAGATGAAAGAGATGCGGAACTAGCTTGCAAGATTGTGGAACTCATCACACTTTCCGTGATGAGGACTTCGGTCGAATTCATGTCAAGCCAAAATATGACATCGACATAATCCGGTTTTGTCAAGTGTAGCGGATAGAGTTTGAATCCCCGCGCTCCTACTTAACGATGAACTGAATTCATTCACACGTTGTGACAGCCGTCAACGACACTATGAAATCAAAGTTGCGATATAGTTCAGCAAAACGCAATCACTGCACAGGTGAACCACACAACATCAAAATGATAACGACTGAAGGAAAGGACCGTGGCATTCACCGATAACAGTGATAACAGAACAGGATTCATTACATAGAACCATAACTTCTATTATCTGATGAAAGTATACAGTGGTTGAAGAGATCTAAGGCTGTAATCAACACTNAGGGACGAATAAGGCGGATGAATGTTTACACGGAATGTGAAAATTTTAAGCGGGAAGCGGATTTGGCAAACCAATTGGACTGCGACTGTTGACCGACCCACAACACGGCCATTCCGACGAACAAGTATAGGATAGGCATGTAGGCCCAAAATATGACTAGTTGAGGCCATAACGTTTCCACATGCAACATGGTGGTTGCGGTTAGCTGATAGGTTGAAAAGTGTCCGGCTTCGGGAGCACGGATGAGGCCGGTTCGACGGTCCACGACGAGTAGATANGAACCGAGTATGGGCCGAGTAACGGTCACCGAACCGCCACAAACGACATCAGATGTTGATGTTAATTTGGAGAGCGTTCGTGCTACGGACCAATCCGATAGAGGTGCACCGAAGGCATCAACCACCTAAATACATATATATTCCAGGTATTTTGGTTGATATGGAGCCACAGGAAATAAAGATACAAATAAAATATAGGTTAGACATAATTTAGCATCACGACTGGCTGAAAACACGGAACCCAGTGATGAGACAAGCACCGCATCTGTAATACTCAAATCAATGCCATGATGAACGTGAAAATATCAAACTGAACGGATTGCAGTTATTCCAATACCTTTTGAAACATATTTATGGTCATTCAGAGTGCTTTTATTACCACCGATCAAAGGAGAACTGCTAACCGATGCATGTCCAAAACAACAGCCCCCGTTCTGAGTCTAAAGGAGCTAGACAGACTGAAGACAAGTTTTTCCAAATAGGTAGCTCAGAAAACAGGACACACAAGCTACCACGTTTAATCGACAGATATCATTTCGTAAATGAGTTCCTAGGGAGCAACCGGTAAGCACGCACCAGCACACTGCTGCTATCTGGCATTTCTTATTTGGATGAGCACAAGCTAGAGAAAATGCCGGGTGACCCTGACCATGTCTGTTGCATCAAATTCTCGTGGAACTTCATGACTCTCGTGATGTCGGTCAGCTAAAGCAAGGATCAAGTATGACAGACCACTTCATGATAACTTCTGTCTGTAGGATTTACCCTCATTAGTGCTGATCTGGCAGTTCAGTGACAGGACCGGATACCAGATTAGCTGGAATTCAATTGTGAATCAGTCAGTGAGAACAGAGAACGTGAATGTGGATCAAATTACTCAAGAAGAATGTTAAGAACGTGAAATTGATTTTGGATACTGACCATTCAGTTTTTCGAACGAAACGGAGCACATATGATACGGTTCAACGAAATATTGAAATAAACCACAAGAAACGCCAGGTAAAATGCGTTTTGGCTTGAAACGAATTTTGTATTCTTTGTATTTAGTGTGTGGACAATTTTTGTGATGAGCTTGGTTTTCTGCTTCAGTGTGAGTTTCACCACTCATCTCGGATCCGTTTGGGGTGTGTGTGTGGGGAGGGGAGCAAGTAGTGCATGTCCTTGAGGTCGACCGAAAAAAGCTTGTATACATTGCAGGCTAACTGAACAAACGCATGTTGAGAAAGCATTTGACAGCATAAAAGTTTACAACTTTTTCTGAGCATCTCTTTCAAGGTAAAACTGCGAAATGAATGCTGCAAAAAGCACTGTGGTTTTTCTCTCTCTCTCCCATATTTGGTCTTAATTTTGTCGGTCTTGTGGAGTATCGAGTACGGTGTCCATTGATAAATGAAACACGAATTGGTTTCAATGAAGCATTTTAAAACTGGATGTCATTCAGAATTGGTTTGCTAATCGATGCCAGTGTGATTCATACACGCACGCACATATAAACACAGAGAACACATGAAAACCAGGACAGTAAGCGACGGTTAAAGTACAATTATGTGGGTCCATATGCGCCACAGATTACGGTTAGACTACACAGGAGAGTACACGTAAAATAAAGCTGCATTCCGATGACAGTGATGAGAAATCATTCACTATGCATTCGGGCTTGAGAAACAGCCAACTGACCGTTTGAATGGACTGCAAATGAGTTGATAGTTCAAGTAAAAGCAACCTGAGTTTGACAATGAGACCTGGTAGACTCCAGTTTAGTGTACCAAAACGTGAAGTGTGATAATAGTCCGTTTGAGGATGATATAAAGTCATCACATAAATAATAATCACAAATGAACTGACGAGCATGCAATCAGCGGACGACTACTGTGAACGGTGGCTGACAAAAAAACTGTACCTGAGCTATGTACACTGTTGGAGCATCAAAAATGTCTAGATTGTGACTTGAGTTCATCTGATAGTGATCCCATATCAAACAATTGTGAATTCGATAATGAATCACGCGATGATCACTTTCCAGATACAGTCGATTCACTGCACGTTCAGTGCTGGGATCTACAAAGTAGACCAGATCCTAACCGAGGGAGGCAAAGAATATGAAGAGAAAACAGGAGTTGAGTAACGCAAATTGATTGAGTGATCATTAGGGTTGAATAGGGTAAAGCTATATAGTGTGTGGTGCGTAGTAGGCATGATTCACACTGCTTTCGCAACCTGCACCCTATCACAAACACACACACATACACATAACAGATATCTCAAGAACACAATCAGGTAACAGTGTTCAAACATCGAACTGCTATCTGAACTGATTCAGCGTCGAGGCCTCCAGTGGTTCGGTCACCCATTTCGCATCCAAACATCGAGTTCTTGCAACAAGTGTTTATCTAAATAGCCTATTTTTCGAGCACTTTTATGTTCATATTTTTATCAGTTAAATAATTTAATTTATGAAACTGGTGAAAGATTTGATTGAGTTTTATAGGGTATTGCGTTGTGTATAAGGCAAATGAGGCGTGTTTCTCGGCACAAGTGTAAACCTATCGACCCAGCTGNCTCACTTGGCCACCGGGCAGCTGATCAGACAGTTTTTCATTTTCCGTCTAAAAGATGTAGCATCCCTCATCTTTGCACTTTGTTCATGTTAGCACCTTTTCGGTCTTTGTCATTGACCCCCCCAGTTGC